CTACCAGTAAAATTGATACAAATTTGGGTCCAAAAATTATTCAGACCGAGTCTGGGAAAAAAAGTTCAGGTTTGCATGAACCTGGTTGACAGCATGCCCAGGAGACTACAGGCTGTCATTAAGGCTAAGGGTTGCCCGACTAAGTATTGCTATTTGTGTAAATACTGTCATACAGTTGTCTGAATTATTTTTGGTTGATTGTAATCTATTACATACCTTTCTATCAAAATTATCTAACATTATCAAGATGAATTTGTTCTGACACAGTTTAACTCTGAGTTCTTGTCATATTTTATTACCATTTTCTAAACAATAGCGAATAAACTGTGATAATGTGAGGAATGTTGAAGGTGTCTGAATAAATTTTGGTTTGACTGTATCTATTTGATAAATGAAGTTAACCAACTAACATTATACATACCCTTTTGTTTTCTGTACCCAATATTTAAAAAATGTACAAATGCAATAAAAATATCGGTATCGGTACTCGGTATCGGCAAGTACCAAAAATAAAAGTATCGGTATCGGGCGAGTACTGGAAAAAGTGGTATCGGTGCATCCCTAGTATATAATCATATAAAGTATAGAAGTATATAAAAAATTCACCAAAGTTTAACATGAAATTAAATAAAAATTAAATTGAATTTAGATTAAATTAAATTTGGCCCACATAAGGTGTCTTGATCCTCAAACTATAATGAGTTTGACACTGCTGTCTTACAATAATCAGACTGATAACAAGCTCTTCCTGCAACAAAGCAGCTGTCGCTCCTCATCAGGGGAAGTGTTCATCCTCCTGACATACCAAAGTGAGTTTAATCAAAGAGGACATCTATCAGAGTCATCAAAATTTACCACGAAGATGCGCATCATCTATCCTGACAGAAGCTGTACCCATTATGTAACGTGCACTAAACTAAATTGAAACAGAGTCCTCAAAAAACTTCTGCGTCAGTTCATTGTGAATTCATAGTGCTGCTTTTCATTGCTTTGGCCATTATGCATCAGCTCTAATGTAAAGAGAAGGATACTTATGATGAGAATGATGATATGATCTGCAGAGATGAGTGTATTAGGAGCGTGAATGTGGGCGACTGATCTTAATGTCTATATACGCACAGTGTGACTGAAAGTGACTAAATACAAAAGCCCTTCAGGTGGGATTTATTCTGGACTGATACTCCAGCAGCCTCTTAGTGACACAACATAATTATCGTGTCATTGATGTGCAGATTATACAAACAGTTCCACCTCAGCACTCTCACTGTAAGTCATCTCTAGAGAAAACAAACAAGCATTTACACATGAACCTCCTGTGCAAAAAGTGGTGCTGGTTTGCCAAATCGAAAACTTTGCCAAAACAAAACAAACAACATAAAATATAATAATAAAAAAGACATACAACACAAATCAAAGAAACAAAACCTAACAAAACACAAAAACAATACAAAACAAAAAAACAACAAACATGAAACAAAACCATACCAAACAAACATGAAACAATTCAAAGCAAACAACAAAGCAAGGCTAAACAAAAAGACAAAAACAAAACAAAATAAAACATCAGAAATCAAAACAAAAATGAAACAAAAAGGGCACAGGGTGACCGAAACCTTAGCATATTCACACACAAAATTTCTAAACAGGGAAAATAAGAGTGGCTAAAGTTGTGCAGTTGCGCTGTGCAGTGAAGGAGTGGGACGGTTATCAGCTAAATTGTTTTGCGTCACCATGTTCTGAAAACTTAATTGCGAGCATTATCCCACCCCGTGGATTGTGAGGTTAAGATGAGAGAGACCATTGGTTCCAACGTTTTTAGGAAACACAGTCCAGTTCCTGATTGGGCACCAGCTTTGGCACCCTATTGGTGGAAAATGGGAAATGAAACATGGCACAAGTATTGGGACCGTTAAAGAAAGCTTCAAAGAAGACCTCAGCGCCAGTGATTGATGGGATTTTCAGCGGATGCTCAGCGCAGCCAGCAGACGGATGTTTGGCGCTCAGAAAAGAGAGCTTTTATATAGGGGAAGAGTATTTTTATATAACAGTACTCGCTTAAACCCCAGAGAGACACAGTCATCACTCAAGAGTTGTGTCTGTGCAGGCTTCATGTCATCTTAGTAGCACTGGAGAGAAGAAAATAACACCCATAGTAAAAGCAAACCAGTTTTAGATTTTACAGTATACTCATGTATACTTTAAAAACTATATTTGCATCATGCTTCAGTACATACGCTTACAAATCTCATCTGGCTTTAGTTGTACAGATCATGACTTCAGCTGCAGAAAATGCAAAACATTGATATTTCACAGAGGCTAAATCCACAGAGCTCCAGGCAGCCTTTACCCTTTTCCTCGCTCATAACATGAAAGATTTTTAGACATACAACACAAATCAAAGAAACAAAACCTAACAAAACACAAAAACAATACAAAACAAAAAAACAACAAACATGAAACAAAACCATACCAAACAAACATGAAACAATTCAAAGCAAACAACAAAGCAAGGCTAAACAAAAAGACAAAAACAAAACAAAATAAAACATCAGAAATCAAAACAAAAATGAAACAAAAAGGGCACAGGGTGACCGAAACCTTAGCATATTCACACACAAAATTTCTAAACAGGGAAAATAAGAGTGGCTAAAGTTGTGCAGTTGCGCTGTGCAGTGAAGGAGTGGGACGGTTATCAGCTAAATTGTTTTGCGTCACCATGTTCTGAAAACTTAATTGCGAGCATTATCCCACCCCGTGGATTGTGAGGTTAAGATGAGAGAGACCATTGGTTCCAACGTTTTTAGGAAACACAGTCCAGTTCCTGATTGGGCACCAGCTTTGGCACCCTATTGGTGGAAAATGGGAAATGAAACATGGCACAAGTATTGGGACCGTTAAAGAAAGCTTCAAAGAAGACCTCAGCGCCAGTGATTGATGGGATTTTCAGCGGATGCTCAGCGCAGCCAGCAGACGGATGTTTGGCGCTCAGAAAAGAGAGCTTTTATATAGGGGAAGAGTATTTTTATATAACAGTACTCGCTTAAACCCCAGAGAGACACAGTCATCACTCAAGAGTTGTGTCTGTGCAGGCTTCATGTCATCTTAGTAGCACTGGAGAGAAGAAAATAACACCCATAGTAAAAGCAAACCAGTTTTAGATTTTACAGTATACTCATGTATACTTTAAAAACTATATTTGCATCATGCTTCAGTACATACGCTTACAAATCTCATCTGGCTTTAGTTGTACAGATCATGACTTCAGCTGCAGAAAATGCAAAACATTGATATTTCACAGAGGCAGCCTGTGGATAAATCCACAGAGCTCCGGGCAGCCTTTACCCTTTTCCTCGCTCATAACATGAAAGATTTTTTTGAAGTCCCTATCGCTGATGGGAACCTTTCTGAACCCCATGGGGAAAGCGCATCCAAACCACACATAAGGAAATAAATGAGGTGGAAGAAACGGTTGGTGTGTGAGCAACTAACACCTCAGAAAGTCACATGACAATCCAGCGCCCAAACAGTTATATCTAGCCTCCGAAGTTTAATATCTTCACATTGAACAAAGATGCGGGAAAAAGGAGAGGAAGGAAGATATTAAACCTGGGTTGAAAAAAAAAAAAAAGAGAAAAAAACCTTCCTGTGAGACCTGGCTCATACAATTACGATAACAGTATCAGCTCAAACGCTTACACTCAGTGAAGTGTGAAAGAATCAGGTTGGGAATATTGAGTACGATTAAATGCACAATCTTACATGGTTTATGCCTGAAAAGCCCAACAATGTGTTTTTTTTTTTCAATGCAAATGTTTCATTATTGGTTATGGGTCAAAATAGGCATT